CTCTCTCTCTCTCTCTCTCTCTCTCTCTTCCCTCTTCTGTTGCTCTTCCTCGTTCTCTCTGTGAACGCACTCGGTGCTAAAACCCTATCGGCTATGGTGTCTCTCTCCCCCTTTGCGAGGCCTAGCTATGGCGCCTTGCACCAGGTTGTTCCACCAGTATGCCTGATGAGTCGCCTTGAACTGTTGCACAAGCGTACAACAGCGCTTCTGCAACAATGAGAATTGGCAAGTGAGTCACCCAGGTACTGTAGCTGCTTATGTAGGAGTTGCAATTGCTATATCTTCGTCGGCTCCAGACTGGTAATGCTTTCCCTGGGCCTGTCAGCTGCAACAACCAGTTTTTTGCTGCTGCAGTGCTTCATAATTAGACTGGGACTTGGACTTTTCTTGCTAGGTACTGGATCTAAGATATTACGACCTAGGGTGTGAATCGGTGTTTGGCTGTTGGGCCTGCCGGTTCAGCTATTGTACATAAGATTGGGACCATTGGGACTTTGGGAACGGGACTTGGGACATGACTGAGACGTGCAATCCGAAACCATTGTGAAGGAAGAAGAAGAAAAAAATAATAATAATAAAAAAATGACGTACCTGCTCGCTGTCGTTGACGTTTCAGGATCCGTGATGACGTGGCAGCGACCACGATGACATGGCAATGATGACAATAATGTGGCAATGTGGATGACGAAGACAATGATGACGATGATGGTATGACGTCGTTAAAGCTGCTCCGCGTCGATCGGGGCGGGAGGGAGGGCGATTGACGCTGCTCCGATACCAGTGTGACGAGGCGGAGGCAGAGCAGCAAGGCTGGGAGAGAGAGGGAGAGTGAGAGCACACACACACACACTCACTCAACTTGACGCAGGCTCGACACGACTCGATGGACACAGACACAAATTGGCAAAGTCGCAAAGTCGCAGTCTTGAATTTCCGAACACAATGTCGAAGCAAATTCGCACTGAACACAAGCACTGATGCTGAAAACTTCGTGTCCGTACTGTGCTTGAGTCCGTACTTAAGTCCCGGACTCAAGTACGGTCCTGAGGGCGAAAATGCCTCAGGGCCAGAACTGAAAATCGAAAGTCTGATAGTGGGCACCAGAATGTTGGATGGCGCCAAGTGTCCAAAATCCAAAAGTCCAAAAAGAAGGAATTTGAAAACGGGCGCCAGAATGCAGATGGCGTCAACTGTCCGAAATCGGAAAAGCAAAAATGAAGTAAAATGAAACAAAAGAATTGCAAAAACAAGGAAAAGAAAATAAATACAGCAAGCTGGGATGGTTATCCCCAGACCTGGGATCGATCCCTGGCGGAGTCCGTAAGACCGCCCTTTTCAGGCCTCTTTGGCAGGCCTAACGGACCCGGTTCAATTTTTTTCCAGGCCAGGAGGCCCCCACAACCTGCGTGGGCCCGTGGGGGCCTCCTGGCCGGAAAAATTTCAAACTGGCCCCTCACCCGCGATGTGCTATGGGGATAAGGGGGGAACCAGCCCGGTTCCGGTTTGAGGAGGGGACCCCGGTCGGACCAGGTTTACAGCACTGATTTTCGGTGATTTTCAAACTGAAAAGAAAGCAGTAACTATGTCCGCAGCAAAATGGCCGATTTTCAATCGACAGATTCCACACTCACTTTTGCAGTCTTGTCGCGGCCTGAGTTTTTATTGCAAAACAAACTCAGGCCGCAATGCGCATGCAGTTTTGTCAACACCACGTCGGGGGTGGGTGCGGGATCTCAGGGGTGGCCCATGCATGAGAGACCAGGGCAGGTCGTTTCCCCCAACGGTCACCCTCTACTTCTGGCCCAAATCACGGCCAGTTTCAGCCAGTACTACCGGCTGGTCCTCTCTTGGCCTGTTTCCCACGGCATTCTCGCCCCTGGCCCTCTTAACTTGCCGTGTGAACAACTGCAGCTGAATTTTTTTCTGTCCCCCCCCCAGTCCCCTATGTTGCCTTTGACAAAACTGTGGTTCGCAACCTGAGTTTCTTTTGCATGTAAAGTTCAGGCCATAAGAAGACTTTGAGTTTCGATTGCACATTGGACCTAGAAAGTATGTCGCTGCCATAGTTATAAAAAAAAAGGAAATAACCTTATTGTCAGGATCTGGGATGCTTTACTGCGGTTATTTTCCACCAACAAGTTATACTGTGATACGGTACTAATTGACTATTGGTTGCTGTTTTTGGCTCTATGACTATGGTTAGGCAGCGTGTCGTGCTGAAGAGGTGGGAGGCATGTGGACAACCGAAAATCGTTGTGACCTGCAAGAACCAGCAGGAAATGTAAGTGCAATGTTTATACCTATATAGCTGCCACCTCATGTGGTGAGGTTGCAAGTGCATTCCCTTTAAATGGAACCCTCAGGCCCCGACTTCATTCTATATTAGGGAGAACCGGCAAGACAGAATATCAAATCATTATTCACCGCACTCTTCGCCTTGTTATGGCCACGGAAACCTGCAACAGCATGGATTGCTCCCACCTGGCAGGATTGACTGTCAAATATGCCCACACAGTCTCTCAGTTCCGCCCAGCTATCCTTTTACCCCTCCCCTAAGAACACGCCTGAAAACAGATCCTCTCTACTCAGTCTACTAATGCAGACCGCCAGATAGTCTGCAATGGAAAAGACATCCTACATCCAAAACCAATCTTCCCCTACCAGCTTTATTTGCCTTTCGGATTTGTGGGACACAGAACAGAATTGGGATGCAGCTGAGCCTGCTTAACTGGTCACCAGGCTCACTGTTACGGACTCAGCCAGGGCTCGATCCCTGGTCCGCGGGCTACCACCCGCCAGGCTGCTATTCCATTTTTTTTGAGTCTCTGATCTCGGTTCCTGACTGTTGGCGCCCTCTGCAGTTGGCGCCCGTTCTCAAATCCCGCCTCTGGCACTTTCGGATTTCGATACTTGGCGCCATCTGGCGTTCTGGCGCCCAGGCTCAGACCTTCGATTTTCAGTTCAGCCCCGAGGCAAAGTGATTGTAACTCTTCAGCTCTTCAAGTCCTGATACGTCCAGTGCTCTCTGTACATTCCACCACTTGAAAACTACCTTTTTCTGTCACTGCTGGAAAACCTCTTAAGGCCACCAGTCCATCGGACCCTAAATGGACGAAGCAGAAGTTGCTTTTTCCTGCGCCTGCCTGTTACACCATCTTCCGTCTTTTGGACCTGAGGTTCAAAAACGGCCCGTGAACTTCCATTACTGCACTACTGTTTTTTTGTCTTTTTTCTTCCATGTTCTTGTTTTTCCCTTTTCTAGTTTCCATGTTTTCACATAGGCACCCCAAACACAGCGCACCCTCATTATGGTTGTACCAGACCCGAAAGATAGCTTGTATACATTCACTATCATCCCTACGCTTATAAAAATCGCTAATGTCTAAATTCTGAAATCCGGGCCGTCTTTGGACCTACCGGCCCGACGGCCCGGATTGGGCCCCGATCTTAGATCTTTAAGATTGCGCAGCGATCCAGTCCGTTCGCGGTTGCACCTGCCCAACGGCCCAGATCGCCCCGCCATCTTAAAGTTTAAGATCGCGGGCGAATCCGGGCCGTCAGGCCGTTTATGGCCCGGATCGCCGCGGTGCCTTGGGGAAATTGGTCCGAAAGGACCATTGGCGGGCGGGCGGGAAAAGTACGGCCCTACGCAACCTACTACACGACCTACCTACGCGACGCGGCCTACCTACGCAACCTACGCTACGCTACGCGACCGACCTACGCGACGCGATCTACCTACGCAACCTACTCTACGCTACGCAACCTACCTACGCGACGCGACCTACCTACGCAACCTACGCTACGCGACCTAGGAGACGCGACCTACGCTACGCGACCAAGGAGACACGACCTACGCTACACCACGAGACCTACGCTATGCGTCCTCTCTCTCTCTCTCTCTCTCTCTCTCTCTCTCTCTCTCTCTGGCCCGCTTTCCCTCTCTCTCTATCCCTCTCCCTTTCTCTCTCTCACAGTGCTTGGTGGTCGTTCTTGGAACTTCGTGCCCTATGGGCTTGCCTACGCGACCTACTGACTTGCCTACGCCCACCTAGGCAACCTAGGCGACCTACCTACAGCCTACGCGACCCATGCGACCTACCTACGGCCTGCCTACCGTATCTCTCTCTTTCTCACTCTCTGGATCTCTCTCCCCCTCTCCCTCTCTCTCTCTCCCTCTCTCTCTCTCCCTCTCTCTCTCTCCCTCTCCCTTTCTTTCTCTCAGTTATTGGTACTTCGTTCTTGGTACTTCGTTCTTGGTACTTCGTGCTTGGTCGTGTTTGGTTCGTGCATCGGTGCCACTTTCGTGCTACTTGGTGCTACTGGGTGCATTTGTGCTACTACTCCGTGCTTGGTTCGTGCTTGGTTCGTGCTTGGTTTGGTTTCAGTGCTACGTGCATCGGCGGTTGGTTCATGGGATTGGTGCTTCAAGCTAAGTGCAACGGTGCTACGTGCATCGTGGACTAGGTGCTTAGAGCGTTTTCTTATGGAGTTGTGTAAAGCGAACATGACGTCACACACACGCACCCAGATGCATCTTCAGCAGACTATCGGGGTTCAAACCCCTTTGAAACTGTTGCATACTGTAACGGTGCAGACCAGAACAAGAACCGACCTTTCTCACAAAGTACAAGATAGCGTAGTGGAAGACTTAGATACCAATGATCCGAACAATCAATATTGCAATGCAGCCCCGAACATACATCATCATCATCACTCCATGGTGTGAAGGGGTCTGGCGCTCACACARGAAGAAYGCGCCAGCCCCAACCATACACAGATGAAGAAGAGGGGGGTTAGACGAAGAAGAGGGGAAGATGGGAATGTCGTCAACACCAAGTCTTCGRCACAGGCCCAAATAGTCCCTCGTCAAAATGTCTGAATCCCAATGTCGAGTCTGGATCCAATGTCGTCAAGTCTCAAGTCACAACTCTCTCTCTCTCTTTGTCGTAGTTTGCTGATACTGAGAAGTAGGTGGGAGAGGGTGACGAAGAGATGGTGGACTTAGAAGAGGAAGAAGAAGAATTATCTTTCTCTCTCTCTCTGTCCAGTACTAACTTGTGAAGCTGGCGCCTTGATGCAGGTACCTCGAAGATGTAGCTGGAGCTATGGCGCCATAGGTAAGTCTCGCTGGCCTCCGCCAGCCATCTCTCTCCAACACTACTACCACTGCCACTACTTAGCGCCCTGTTCTGAAGACTACTCCTGCAGCTACTAGCGCCCAACGCTAAAGACTACTTCTAGCGCTAAGCTACTCCTGCAGCGCTCCTCCAGAGTGCTGCTGCCGAATCCTAAAGACTGCCTCCTGCCTTCTGTCCAACTACCTACCCGTGAAGTGCATGGGAACTCCCTATGTACTACTCGGCCTGCCTCCTGAGTGCAGGGCGAGGCCGAATCCTAAAGACTACTCCTGCCTTCTGTCCAACTACCTACCCGTGAAGTGCATGGGAACTCCCTATGTACTACTCGGCCTGCCTCCTGACTGCCTGCAGCTTGCAGGGCGAGGCAGTCCAGGAGGCTGCTCTTGCCAATGCCAGGGCAAGCCAGGGGCTGGCGCTGCAGCTCCTGGTGAGGCTGGCGTGGGGAACAAGCCAAAAATAGCTTCTTCCTAAAACCCTGGTTTGTTGCCTGAGATCTAGGGCAAGACGATCTTATGAGGGCCCGAAAGTGGCCGTCCGTTTCAGGATGAAAATGCTAAGGGCTGAAAAGCCCTGTTTTAGGCTGAAACGACATAGGGCCTGCAGGCCCTCGTTTTCAGTTTTTCAGGCTGAAACGACACGGGGCCCGTAAGCCCTTATTTCTAGGCTTTTAGGCTGAGAATGCGGGACGGGCCCTGCAGGCCCGTGTGGCTACGCAGTATGCCACACCCCCCCCTCCTTGAAAGACCAAGCTTACCTGCGAGGGCGAAGCTGTCTGTCTGAGGGAGGGACCATAGTCCGTCCCGGTGGGAGGGGCAGGTCGTGAAGGTCCCTGAGCTAACCTTTGTTGCTCGTAGTGAGCGTAGATCAGCAGTGCGGATGCTTTCAAATCTGTTCCTGAAATCCACCGAGTGTCATCAGGATCGCATGCTTTGAATGTAACTTTGTACTGTCGAGGCTTTCTGCCGTACTTGCGATCCGTGATGACGCGGTCAACTTCCTAATGACCATCCATAGAAGGAGGGTCCTGCGATTGTCGGCCCGGGAAGTCGTCGCTCTTAGCTGGTGTGTATGTCGCCAGCTTCGAGGCGTGAAAGACTGGATGGACCGTCAGATGCGGGGGGATGTTGATCACAAATAAAGGGCCATCGTGCTCATCGCCCGCGGCTGATGTTACGGGCCATGGTCCAAACCACTTGGGAAGCAATTTGCGTGAAACATCCTGTTTCAGTGCAAACTCTTCCGCGGAGACCCAAACCAGATCACCGACATGGATGGGACATGGTACGCAACGCCTGTTGGCTTGCTGCTGCATGTGGACTTGAGCCTTTTGCATGTTCGCGCAGGCTTGAGCCAACAATTCCCTGTACTTCCGGACGGAAGCGGGAGAGCAAGCGGCGTCGATGTCGGCTGGTCGTGGGAGGAGCAGATCGACGAAGATACGGCCTTTCCGTCCACCGTGGTGCAACTCGAATGGAGTCACGCGGATCGCCGAGTGCACCGAAGTGTTGTAGGCGAACTCGATGTCGTGGAGGCGGTCAACCCAATCTTTCTGATCCGGACGGATGAGCGCACGCAGCATCATTTGCGCGGTTTGATGTACCCGCTCCGTTTGCCCGTCCGTTTGTGGATGCCGAGCCGAACTTGGTTTTATCTTCGTGCCGGACTCCTGCATGAGAGCAGTCCAAAATGTCGACATGAAGCGAGTGTCGCGGTACACTGTGGCCACAAATCCAACCGGTGTGCAAGAGGCGTGCCAACTCGGGAGCCGTGGAGTAGTACTTGCAAGGGAGAAAATGCGCATACTTACACAAACGGTACACAACCGTGAGAATGTCGTCGTGCCCGAGGCGATTGCGGGGAAATGGTCCGGTGACATCCATGGCAATGGAGAGGTCAGGTTCTCGTGGGATAGGCATCGGGCGCAACTCGCCGTACGGGTTGCGATTGCGGGGCTTGCTTCGTCGGCAAACTTCGCAAGAGTCGCAATACCGAGTGACATTGGTAATGAGGTCGGGCCATCGGAATCGTTATCGAGGCTGTGCAATAGTGCGGTTGACTCCAAAATGGCCGGCGAGTCGCGAGTCATGGTACTCCCCGAGAAGGCGAGTCCGAAGACGACGGTCTCGTGGGACACACAATA